AATGAATCGATACCAAAATCACAAACTAAATGCATAAAATTTCCATTCCACAAAAATCAAATGAATTCATAACACATTAGAAGCAAACCAAGATAACAACTATCATGCAGAATATCGAGATGAAATTAGGCAATTTGAAAGCAGAAACTCAACAAATTATAATAGGTGGTCCATTGAGAAAAACACACATCTCTATGCGCCGTTGGAATTTCAATGCCTAGCTCCTCCCCCTATTCTCCCTAGACATGTACGGTATTTTCCAAACATTAAAGGGCTTTCATTCCGTTAAAAAAAAATCTCCTACTGCTCTTAGAAATGTTGCTATTATACTCCTGGAAGCATCTACGATCCTTTGCTTCATATATATATTATTGTTGCTATTGTATACCTATTCGATTATACTGCATTTTAGTAATATGGTGGAACACCATCATCTTGCTGAAACCACATTATATTGCTTTCAAGAAGATTAACCGATAATTGCGGCAGATAAAATCTCAGGAAGATTCAATAACCATCGAAGAAATAAGGCCAATTACATGGTGTCTGATGAATCCTCCCAAATATATACGGACCATTGTGCTGATAACAAGTTTGGATGTGTTTCAATTAAGATAAACAGCCTGTGATTTTTTAGGTTCAACAATTGAAACATGGTTACGAATATCAATATGGATGTCAAGACAAAGTATGTTCGTGTTAAAATTCCGTATCATATTCCAAAAAATATGTTCCATTCGAAAAACTCGAAAAAAATCACTGTACTTACTTCAAAAAGTTTCGAATTGAAAAATCATTTACAACCACCCTGAATAATTTGTGAACATAAAAATATTACATGAATATCAAGTTTTTCATTCATTCATTCATTCATTTACTTCGATCACAGAATAATTCCAATGGGCTCATATCACAAAAAAAAAATTATTTCATAATTCGATAGAACTCACCCAAACTAGCTCACCATCGCAAACCGTTTCTTGCTGTGAGCTCCCTACGTTTTATAATCTCTGAAAACAAGGCGATGATGTGACGTCAAAACCCTAATACTGAAACAAGACTATTCCAGACAGAGATGAATGATACATGATTTATGACAGGGTGAATTAGCGCGAGATCACAGTTGAAAGAATGAATATATCAGTTGCCTCAGTCTCCGTCGAGCGTTTGGTATTTTCTTGTAACTTTGGCGAGATGGGGGTTTATACATCATGAGAGAGTCCGTTTTCAGAAGGTACTATTATTTATGTCCAAAAATAAAACATTCCAGTTAATTTTTCGATCGAATTATGTCGGCAATCATTATTTATGAATAAAAGGATCATTGTAAACATGGTTTGAGTTGAAAGTTCTACTAAGGTGTACACGCCCATTACAAACTAAAAACTAAGAAATACAGTAAACAAGAATGATAATTGACAACTATTGCCTAATACAAAAAAAAATCTGATCTGATCTGCTGAATTGTTTTATAAAAAATGTCAAAAGCTGTGCAGTGATCATCATATCTTTCACAGATTCTTTGTGCTGGAGAGTTTCTACATAAGTTCGTGCGTGGAGTTAACAAGTGAAAGGTACGATTCACTCAGGACGTCATTCTTGGAACGTGAAATTGAATTTTTTTCATCAAATAATGGTCAAGTTACATCAGTTTTTTATTGTTCTGAGAAGGATTACAATAGTATTACTCTTTTCGAGTTTGTAGACCACTGAATGAATATCTCTCAAGAAAATGTGAAATACTAATTTCTGGATGTCCTCCGTCTATTCTGATAGAAAGTAGTTACGAAAAGCGCCGCTGAATCGATTCTCGGCTGTCGGCCTGATCCTAAAAATCTCGGGAGTCATTATTATCATTTATATCTGGAATTCTGTAGAATATTTCCACATCGTCAGCACATAGAAAACCATTTACTTCAATGTCGTCGAGTCTGTCGTTGATAAATATATTGAATAACAGAGTACCAAGGTACGACCCTTGAGGCATTCCAGATGTAGCAAGATGTTGTATATTGCCCTTTTGATGATAGTTATGACAAAAATTGTCCATCATTACTAATCAGGATGATTCGAGAATGTCCATTTCCTGTTCAGAATATGACCTATTTGGTACCTTGTTAGGCCGTTTCGAGGACATTCAGATTATATCAATCGTTCATTTTCTGACCCATCCCAAGAAAGAAATACTCGAAAATTAGAATACATTTATTCACACACAATAATATAAACAGAAAATTAGGTAAGTAGTTGTTTTAATTTCACTTTTCCTGTCGTATATTAGCAGCTGCACCAATAAACCACACTAAACGTCGCTTGATTCCTCCAGTTCCGCGATGTTGACTCTTTTCGATTGGTAGCCTCCTGTTGTCTTTTTTCATTGTATCTCTAAAACAAATAATATTCAATAACATTTTCTGTAAATACTATGAACAAACACCCACTTCATCATTTTAAGTCCATTGGAGACTTATTCAAACCAAAGACTGATTCTTAGTTAGCTCTAACCTCTATATATCCTTGCACGAAATATTATGTTTTTTCAATATACACAAAATAATCAACTATTCTTGATGATAGAAATATAATAAGGTGAAGCTCAGCATAAAAGTCGAATCATATAGACAGTCATATCTATCTTTGATTCGAAGTTCATACTCCAAACTTGTCCAAACACCATCAAGCGAATGAAAATACAGGCTGATTCACGGTGGATGGCACATTAGACGTTTCTGGCGAACCAGACAACGGATCATTTTGAAAATTCAATGGAGGGCATATTCGGACATTCTCTAGCCAACTAAAATATTTTCGACAATGCGGTGTTGCCGCTTCTATCAGAAAGCAGTAGCAACTTCGATTTTTCAAATGGAACACTGTGTATTTTATTGCATTTTTAGATTCTCTCTGAAGAGCTGATTTCATCGATATATCACACTCGGGGTCTAGCGGAAATGATTACAGAGATAAAGGGTGTGAAAAATCGACATTTTTCAACTTTAGGATTTTTTTTGTGTCGAAACTATTCATCATTGGTCAAAACGGCTCACATGTCCCTATCTCAACTTTTGATTAACTATCTACTAATATTTAATTGGGACATATACCGGGTGATGAAGATTCTGAATTCTGCACCACCCTGTATTTGTTTCAATTAAATGTTAGTAGATAGTTGATCAAAAGTTGAGATAGGGACATGTGAGCCGTTTTGACCAATAATGAATAGTTTCGACAAAAAAAATTCCTAAAGTTGAAAAATGTCGATTTTTCACACCCTATATCTCTGTAATCATTTCCGCTAGACCCCAAGTGTGATACATCGATGAAATCTGCTCTTCAGGGAGAATCTAGCAATGCAATAAAATACAGAGTGTTCCATTTGAAAAATCAAAGTTGCTACTGCTTTCTAATAGAAGCGGCAACACCGCATTGTCGAAAATATTTTAGTTGGCTAGAGAATGTCCGAATATGCCATCCATTAAATTTTCAAAATGATCCGTTGTCTGGTTCACCAGAAACGTCTAATGTGCCATCCACCGTGAATCAGCCTGTATAAGGAAAGCCATACTTGCCTTCATGCTGCTGTTGACAAAAAACATCTCGGAATTCTCGGATCTCGATAGTTTATAAAGATGTTATCCACAATGGTTTCACTGCACTGCTCCTAGAGTCAAGGAACTCGAAGAGTTCATAATTTCCTTGGACCTGAATTACAGTGAATTCGGCCACAGTATGTTATTATTATTATGACACATTCGGCATTATCCAACTGACGCCATCTTTCCATTTCATCATCACGTTTTCGTTTCACGTATGCGTTCTACAGTTGCATTACATGTGATTCAGCAAACCAATCTAATCTTATTATGAAAGCGCGGCTTGTATGATTTGTATAAATACTCCAGTATGGGTTGAATAATGTTCAAAGCATCATATGATTGAAGTAATATGATTCAACATAACTATATAATTGAGTAGATCCAAAACATTTGAAATCATAAATATTTATGAATTGAAATATTATGATACAATGACATTCAATTTTTTGATATAGCTGACATAAGATATATGTTTCTCACATCATTCATATATCCATATTCAATTGAACAATTCTTATATCCAAAATTCTAAATACCATATCATGATTATCAAAACAAAAATACGTTAGTGTTTATGAATTGGACGTCTCAAAGACGTCATTTTCTGGACGTCCCAAGTATGTCCAAAAATGGACGTCCTAGACGTCAATACAAGGTCGTGGACGTTCAGACGAAATTCGGACCTAGAATGGACGTCCTCTTGACGTTCAGTGCTATCTGGGTATATTCAATAAAATGCCGTGATCTAGTCTGTTGAAGGCTTCAGAGAACTGTATCAATTACGTCTGTTTGGAATTGATTATCCAGATCCTCTGCTATATGCCTAGTGACATGATATAAGTTTCATAAAACCGTGTTGGTTAATTGACAGACTTTTCTCAACTTGGAAGTAGATATTTCTTGTAAGAGGATCTCAAATACCTTGCAGAAATTACAGGTCTGAAATTGGTAATTGAAATATCCCGCATCTGCCCATAAAATGATATTTTGATTATCCCCTCTCAGATTTCATAATTGCGACGACCGTGATTTCTTCGGTATGCATCTGCACATGACATTAAAATTCGACAAAAAAATCATAACTTTGATATGACCGATAGTCAATCATATTTTAAAGGTGGATAGAGGTCACAGAATTGCTTGAAAAAATATGCTAGTATACATAGCATTTCATTCAGAAAAAGTGCTCCCGACTCTCTAAGTATCTTTTTGGTACACCCTGTATATGAAACAATTATTTCTAGTTATGGACCTTGTTGTCTCATCCACATCCGCTTTTGAATTGTTTATAGTTATTATAGAACTCGAGAAATTGAGCTTCGACGCACTATTGCCCCACTTTGTATAATACAATGTAATAATACAACTTCCTTCCCGAAGCTAATACTAATTGAACATTTTCAGGTTGCGATTTTCGAGGCAAAGGAGATGCAATGAAGGTCCATCAAACTAAATGCAAATTCACCACTATCCTGTGTGCATTGCGGTTCAATAGCTGTCAGTGGCAAGGCCATAGGAAAGATCTCATGGCTCATTGCAATGACGTACATCCGGAAAACACATACACCAATAACGAACAGAAGCTTTTAGTTCCTGATTTCCCAACCTTGATGCACAGGCACTACTACATCCTCTTCGAAGTGTATGAAACCCTTTTCAGGTGCACATGGGACTTATCCATAGATACTGGTACTATGAGATTTGCTGTATATATTCTTGAACAAAATACTACAAAGGGCAAATTTTCTTATCAAGTATCTATGTTTACACCCGACAACGAGATTGCCGTCTTGCTGAGAGGACCATGTGTCTTGCTGGAAGATGACAGTAAAAGATTTCTTGGAGATAAATATTTGTCCGCTAAGCATGGAATGGCAAAGGAATTTTGTGATGAGGATGGCTATTTTCATTATGGGATCAAGTTAATCAACCATTCTCTCTGAAATATGCACATCCTTTTGACAATAAATTCTTTGACTCGAATAAATATTGTAAATCTTCATTTTACTTGTTTTTCTGAGATTTTCTCTCCTCGTTTCTATAAAATGACAATGTGCGTATTATTTCAATATATTTTTAGTGGGACAAATCAGATGATTCGCCCCAAAATGTCACTGCGTTCAACAACTTTTTTTATCTGGGAGCCTGAAAGAAAAATCCAGTAGCTTGTCAGTGACACTTTGTTTGAAAAAATGTTTGAAGAAATGGAATATAGATATTGAAAAAATATTGAATTTTTTCATATCTTTGGACGTTTCTGGAACGACTCTGCTCCCGTTCTCAACATGAAAATGCAAAATATTTTTCTTTGAAAGTTGTGCTCTGCTTATAGTTTGATACTTCTCAGTGTCATATTGATGTTGGCATATGAATGAGTGATTTTAGTCCACAAATGAGTTACAGGATGTTTTCATTAATTGATCTTGCATCTATCATCTTTATGTTCAATTTTCAGTAGTGAACACCATGTTCTATCTATATCAACTGAACAGTTGCCATATGCCTGCCATATGTTGTCCATCTTCAGTAAGGATTTGTTGAATTAGCTTCGATTTATCGATATGTCTTTTCTTGATACTGTACTTGTATTCTTTAGTCCTTACTGAGAGAGGTATTTTCGTTCTACCTGTATAATACTTTCCACAAACACAAGGTTTACTATAAATAGGATTTTTTGATGATTGTTCTTCATTTTTTGGCTTTATTCGAGTTTGAGTTCCAAGTGAAAACTGTTCAAAACTGAAAATACAATGAGATCCATTCTAACCCAAACAAAGCCAAGACGAACAACATATGGCAGAGTGGAATAATAGCAAAATCATAGGAAAGGAAGATAACAACCAAAAAAGAGAAATCAAGGAATCCGCTTGCATTCTTCTGAACGGAGACTATAGCATTGCTTCCTGTTCAGTTGATATAGATAGAATATGGTATTCACTACTGAAAACTGAACATGAAAATGGTAGATTTAAGATCAATTGATGAAACCATCGTGTAACTGATTTGTAGACTGAAATCACTTATTAATGTGCCAACATCAGTACGACACTGAGAAGTATCAAACTATAAGCAGAGCACTTCCGAAGGAAAATATTTCCATGTTGGTAACGGAAGCAGATTCGTTCCCGAAACGTCCAAAATTAAGTGAAATTTCGATATTTTCTCAATATATCTATATTTCTTTCCTTCTAACATTTTTCGAACATAGTGTCTCTGACAACTGGATCTTTCTTTAAGGCTCCCTGATAGAATTTCTTTTGAGGCAGTGACATTTTGGGGCAAATCATCTGATTAATCTACAGACAGTATTCAAAGAATGTCCTTTTGTGATTTATCTTCCCACTTGGTCTTATTAGGTAAACCATCTCATTTAACACCCTGTATGAATAATTTCTTCATTGCGATAACAATTTTTCAGTATGTTGATTCAGGATAATTAAGGAAGGAATGTACTAATCGAAACCATTTTTCCGGATGTTCAGGGCCGGGCAGGTGCCAGGAATATTTTACAAGTTTCTTATTGGGGATCCTGCCACTTACATGTTTCAGGCAGGATCAGTAGAAAGAATGTTGTAAAATATTGCCCGGATTAGATATTTTGATACTGTACATTTCTTCGTTATGTTTTTCTGAATGATAATTAGAATATGTAAGTGGCAGAACTCCTAATTAGAAATATGTAAAATATTGCTGACTCCTGTCCGGCCATGGACGCCTGAATTAAATATTCTGATATGGTACATTTCCTTGTTTTGTGTTTTGAATGAGATATGAAAGTGGTAGGATTAGTAAGAAGAAAGTTGTAAAATATTGCTGGCTCCTGTCCGGCCCTGTACGCATGGATTGAATATTCTGATACTGTACATTTCTTTGTTTTTCCTTCTGAATGATATACTAGAATATGTAAGTGACAGGATCCCTAATAAGAAAGTTATAAAATATTGCTTGCTCCTGTCTGGCCCTGGATGCCTGGATCAAATATTCTGATACTGTACATTTCTTTGATTTGTCCTTCTGAATGATATAATGAAATATGTAAGTGCCAGGATTCCTAATAAGGAAGTTATAAAATATTGCTGACTCCTGTCCGGCCCTGGACTTTCTGATCAAATAATCTGATACTGTACATTTCTTTGTTTTGTCTTCCTGAATGACACACTGAAATATGTGAGTGGCATGATCCCTGATAAGAAAGTTGTGAAATATTGCTGGCCCTGGACATCCGGAAAAATAGTTTCGACAAAAAAAATTCCTGAACTTGGAAAATCTCGATTTTTCACACCCTATATTTCAGTAATTATAACTGCTAGACCCCAAGTATGATGGGTCGTTGAAATCAGCTCATCAGGGAGAATCTCAAAATGAAATAATATATAGGGTGTTTGATTGAAAAAAGTTCAACTTCAGTGTTTTGTGATTTTTGGGGACATCCTGTATGTTTCAGAATAATTTCAAATGGTAGCCTATGTTGACATGCAACTTCCTAGAGAGGTAGAATTCCAAGAAGATAAGTGGTTAGCCTTCTAGAGACCGAGGGGTTACTGGTGGCCCACCCTGTATATAAGATGAAACTGTCGATTTCCTTCGGGTATGCAGCCAAAGAAAAAACAAAGTGTACTCTTGTTTCTGTTCAAGCTTTCGAGTCTTTATTGCCTCTTCATCAGGAACTCTATAAGAGCCAATAAAAGCTCGAAAGCTTGAACAGAAACAAGAGTACACTTTGTTTTTTCTTTGACTGCATACCCGAAGGAAATCGACAGTTTCTTCCTTAACTTAGACAGTCGTTTAATCCTCTCCTCTCTCTCTCTCTCTCTCTCTCTCTCTCTCTCTCTCTCTCTCTCTCTCTCTCTCTCTATATATATATATATATATATATATATATATATATATTTATATATTTCAATATATACATATTATATACTAAAGAGTTTGGGATTAGTGTGAACATCCAAGAAATCTCGTGTTCACCATTTCCTCCACTTCATACTCCGATAAGTGATATGAATAAGAATCGAGTTATGAACCTCAACGGCTTGATAGGTGAAGGATTTCTGGAACATGGCTGAACGATGACAATGTATATTCAAGTGATGTTCATTTCTTGGATCCAACGGATGGAGGGATGACCTATTGTAACGTTTTTATTTTCTAATATTACTTGCTCACATTGAAACTTCACCTACCTCTGTTTTCTGTTACTTCGATCCCAAATTGAACTCTCAGAGGAAACACTATAGAATTCAGAAAATTTTATTGTATATTTGTAACAAAGTTCAGAGAGATATGTCTAGTTGAACAGACTGTATATCATGCTGTCTCTCTTTGTGTCTCATGAGTTGAAGTTATCCTGAAACAAACAAATTATGAATATCAAATTAATCTGAAAGCTATCATTGAATAGAGAAGCAACACGAACTTTATATCAAAGGAAAAACCATACCTGATTCTTTCTGCATTATACGTGGACCATGGATTCTTATGGATCTGCTTGTTGTGGTTTCCTGAAAATGAAGAGAACAATTATTATAAGAATTCACTAGCGAATACGGGAAATCAAACAAGACAAAGATTTGTACGGTACACTCCTCCAGTGTTTATACAGTGTCTTTCAAAAGTATCGGAACGGTCTCATATTTCAAGAACGGCTTGAGAAAAATTCACGAAATTTTCCACAGGGTGATTATTGATTTATCTGAAAAACTATTGATTTGGCAACATTGCCGATATCACCATTGAATCGGGCATCATCAACAACCATCCTGTCGATGTTTTCATAAATTTTTTCTGAGCCGTTTCTGAAATATGGGACCGTTCCAGAACTTTTTAACGAAAATGCTATGTTGTCATATTTCGAAAATCACGTTAATTACGAATCTGATATTCAAGGACTCAAGTAATTAGGAGGCGCTTAATTAATTGAAATAAAAATAAATTGGGTATTCCATTTGAAAAAATAAAGTTACTCCTAATATCTGAAAAACTGTAAACTTGGCAACATTGCCGATGCCACCATTGAATCGGACATCATCAATAATCACCCTGTAGAAAATTTCGTGAATTTTTCTCAAGCCGTTCCTGAAATATGAGACCGTTCCGATACTTTTGAAAGACACTGTATGTAAATGTAAATACGAAGTCGGCAGTGTGTGACTGTCCAGAAGGGGCAGGAGGAAAATATTGCAAGCAACAGTACGCTTTATATAATACTGGTGTGCAAATGCACAACTTTCCTTATATTTTATCACAAGACAAAATAGAAGTTGCTACGTTAGCATTTGAAAACACTATCAGTGGTGCCAACTTCTTCAAAGAAATGGATGAAGAAAAAGATAACGAGATTACTGCAGAATTTGGCGAACCCATGACATTGAAAACGGAAGATGGCCTTGATGAGACGACTCCTGATGAAGAAAATAATGTTTCCGTTGAAATAAACGAAACTGAAACTGATGAATCAGCCAAACTCAGAGAATTCAAAGACAACAAAAAAAATCTCATCCAGCACTATTGCCTATTGTCACGAAGTTCAATAGGCAGATGAAGAAAATGGATAGCGAAGCTTCATTCTATGCTATATGTTTCTCGTTTACTAGTCTAAAAACCAGTGAAAAAAATTAATCTGAAACTGAAAAGCATTCCTAATGTTGCGACGATATATTTTGTTTATATTGTTTGAATAGTTGAATATTCCGCATGATTAAACTTCCGTTTCATTGTCAAATTGTGTCTCCTTCAGACTGAAAATCAGTGTGAAAAACGAAATCTGTAAATAGTCCTGACCCATGCACCACAGAGCAGTCGTTGGTCGTTGGCATATAGCAAATTTCAGCTAGGAAACGGAGTGCTCCAGTATGCACTCCAATGCTAATGCTGTGAGAGAGACCTATCGCGCTAGCTGTATAGTGAACGTAAATATGCGTACCGTCATGGTCATTGGCCATGTTCAGCGATACGTCGGATGAATGGTGACGTAAATTTTTATGCTGTTTCGTTATTGGTCAGATAATGTTTCATTGCCACTCATCGCGCAAGGTTTCCAAGTCACTAATCACAATCAAGTTATCAAGAAGATGTTAGAGTTATGTCGTTGAATGAAACATATGATAGGAGGAAACCATAATATTATAGTTCATTCTTGACTTCTCCGAGCAACCAGCATGACCAAATATTTCTTATACTCCATAACAAAATATCATGTGAATGTTGGAGATTTGGTAACATTGTGCTGAATGCTGATACACCGCCGTAATTCGAATGTCCTCTAGAGTGAATTGATATAATTATTTTTTATACAACTGTGTTATAAGCAATAAGCCACAACACATAAAGAAACATTTAGCGACAATTGATATTTTATTGCTAATTAGGAATATTACCAATACCTAATTGGGAATATATGAATTATTGAATAAATAATATTTCTGCAGTTTCCAATCGTATTTCAACATGTCTCTGCTCTGGTCTACTTCTTCTTACGATATCAAGACGTCAGTTTTTACTGACGGTACTGATGATTTCAGCACCTTGGAATCGACCAAAAAAATTCCACAAAAATATTGAATTGAAAGGTATTTGAATGATGATTTTATTTGAGAAATAAAAAAAAGTCCACTCGCCCATTAGTCGATCTACGCAGTAATATATAAATTCCGATGCCTTGTCCGGACGTTGTTCAAAACGGACTTAACTATGTGAGGATTTTCGCATTTTCCCTGTCGTCATCTCACAGTGCTCGTTAGCTTTCTCAAGTGGAATTGGGCGAAGATTGACACTACTGTATCAATGTCGAGGACTTCTTAGTTTTTAAATAAATGTGAAAAGCTCACAGTCATTTCCACCCAGTGTTCATAAAATAAACAACAATGGTAGCTTTCGGGAGTAAAACAACTACTTCCCTGGCTAATGCCTGGCAGGATATTGAATTACATCCTCCCGAAATCTATGCATCGACTCGTTTGAACGAATACTGATACAAGTGATTCTTTCCCGAATGCCTATTGATTTCGATTAAGCCAGGCCGCTAGACAACCACAGACCGGTTTCGAGCTCTTTGACTCTCATCAGTGCAGTGTAGTCTCCAGCCAGCAGTCCTAAGACCACCGACTCAGCGAAGCCTAGCCAAACAAAAATCAAGTTGGCATTATATCCACCCCGAGGCGTCTTTCATCGATAAAATGAAAGAAACGCCATCTGAGTAGAACCGAGGAAAGAATCACTCCAAAACTGAAATTTCCATACGGGAGTGGCTGGCAGCCCGACTGGCGTAATATGAACTACGAAATAGCCACAATACTCAAAGTGGAATGAAATGTTAAATAAATGTGAAAAGCTCACAGTCATTTCCACCCAGTGTTCATAAAATGAACAACAATGGTAGCCACAATACTCAAAGTGGAATGAAATGTTAAATAAATGTGAAAATCTCACAGTCATTTCCACCCAGTGTTCATAAAATGAACAACAATGGTAGATTTCGGGAGTAAAACAACTACTTCCCTGGCTAATGCCACGCAGGATATTGAATTTGTTAAAATAAGAAATGCGTGGATCATGTTCTCCATTATTTAATCATAAAAGGAATTCAAACTTGTTTCAGATTTTCCGAAAACAATCTCATTTATAATTATTCAACAACCCCGCAGGGGGTATCTTGGGTTCGTGACAGGTCTTCTCCTGTCACGAAGTCAAGGTACATGGGTGAGTAACGACCCCACGGCCCTAGTTGGCGCGAAGTCTGGCGGTTTCAAGGATTCCGCCAGACAACGTGCAAACCAGCACAGTAGAGTACGCAAATCCCGGCTGCTTTACTGAAACCCATCCTGTCTTACCTGTTATCCTTCACCCGTCCTTTTCTTGCACCCTCCACCCATACTTACCTGTACAATTCCCCAATACCAACTCAGGGACTCGCACCTAGCGGGTACGGAAATGGTAACCCCGAGGCACCCTAGCTGGACACTTACCTCACTTCAACTTGTCTTTGGTGATGGTCCTCTTCTTCTATCTCCATCTATCCTATCGGTCTCTCTTGACCAACTCTTGTTTTTCTGTCCTCTGGTGGCTATTAGGTTATCCGAGGGTACGGGGGTCTTTCCATTTCCTGACTACTACCTTCAGATGGAGCTTCCAGATGTAAAAAAGTCGAAAACTAAGGTGTTACTTACCGTGCCAATAGTTGAATGGCCCTGCGTAGTGGGTCGCTAACGGTAGACTCGGAGAACCAGGCGAAACTCTGTTTCAACTAGCCTTACCACGCCAAGCGGGGCTCTGCCGTGGCAGACAGTATATTTCCCTAGCTACTCGTGGGACTCAACGACAGATCTTCTCACTAACAAAAACAAAAAAACAGTGAGTAACGTGACGGAGGAAAAAATTCCCCGGTTCTTACTCATTAAAAGAACGGATGGAGACTTTTCTGAAGTTAATCCATTCATCATCTCGAAAGTTTTATATGGTTTGATAGGAAATACGAAAAACATTAAAAAACTGAAAGAAGGACTACTAGTCGAAACTACATCGAATTCACAATCTAAAAGGCTACTGAAAATTACTCGTTTCTCTGATTTCGACTTTGTAGTGACTCCTCATGGAACACTCAACTTTTGCAAGGGCATAGTATCATGTAGAGACCTACTAAATTGCTCGATTGAGGAAATATTAGAAGAATTTAAAACCCAGGGTGTTACAGAAGCCAAACGGATGATGACTAAAATAAATGGATCGCTGACAAATACCCCTAATATAATACTAACATTCAATTCTGTCACCCTCCCAACGAATATTGTTATTGCCTTCTATAACCTCAAGGTACGACCATACATCCCTGCACCACTTAGATGTTTCAAATGTCAGAGATTTGGTCACACTACGACAACCTGTGATAAAGAACAAATATGCGTTTGTGGAAATATATTACATGAAGGTAACCCATGTAAAGATCCAATCACCTGTGTCAATTGTGAGGGCAATCACTCAGCAAGGTCCAGAAACTGCCCAGCATTCAAGGAAGAAGTAGCAATACAAAGAATCAAAACCCTTGAGAAAATCTCTTACTTCAAAGCTAAGAGAAAAGTCAGAGCTAATGCACCCGCCCCGTCAGTATCCTTCGCTAGAGTAACTGCCTCCCCAAATGTATCAGCTCCAAATATCAAAGATATTATTACCCAAATGATCCCAGAAATCGTCAAAATTTGCACCACCATCATTGAAAATAAAATATCCCCCTCATCCATAGCTAACACAACGTCCAAAGCTATACCTCCCCCAGTGTCACTTCCCTCAGTCTCTATTCCGACATTTTTACCTCCATCAATCATCACAACCAGAGAAACTATCAGCTCAGATTCATCTACCACAACAAGAGAGAAAAGGAGAGCTGAAAAATCACCTACCGAGGTATCTGAAAATGAAACTGATTCCAGTCAGTCCTCATTGACAGAAGAATCTGAAGAAAATAGACTCAAAAGAAAACCAGGATGGCAGAAGGGTAGAGCCCGAAAACCTCCTGACTTGAAAAAAACAACAGATGAAGTACGAACGAATCTCCAGACATCGACCAGCCAACAAACGCCACCATAATGGACAACTCAGAGAATTTGATATACTGGAATTGTAATGGCTGTAAAACCCATTTCTCAGAACTGAAAATCGTCCTGAATGAAAAATCTCCTTTCTGTATCTGCCTTCAAGAAACACATTTCAAACCATCAGACAATTTTCGCTTGAGAAACTATGCTAGTTACAGAAAGGATGCTTATTCCAATTTGAGAGCAAAAGGTGGGGTAGCCATCTTTATCAAAGACAGTATTCCCCACTCGGAACTCAATATCCAATCTGAACTCGAAGCAATAGCTATAAGAACAACATATCCTATAGAAATGAGTATCTGCAATATATACTTACCTGAACCTAACTGGAACCTAGAAGATCTACAACGAATCGCTGACCAGTTACCATCTCCATACTTGATAGTTGGGGACTTCAATGCTCACAACCCGCTATGGGGCTCTGAGAGACTAGACACAACAGGCAGAATAGTTGAGAACTTCATCGACAACAACGACCTCATTCTACTGAATAATGGAGAAGGAACCTACCTCAACCTCAGATCTAACTCAACGTCAGTTCTTGACTTGGCAATATGCTCACCACCTGTTTCAACATCGCCCAACTGGAAAAGCCTCAATACTTTTCTCACAGATCACACATCCATTGCCGTCGAATTTGCAAGTCATCTTATCCCATGCGCACTACCCAAGCGCTGGAAACAAAAATATGCAGATTGGCCACTTTATAAAGAACTCACATACGAGCTTCCAACACACGACGATATTGACCAAGCTTCGAAGAACATAAGCGATCAAATTCTTCGAGCAGCAGAACAGGCAATCCCACAAACTAGTGGAATAAAAAGAAAAAGAGCATTTCCCTGGTGGAATAACACAATTGCATCCAACGTTGCTGAAAAAAAACAAGAACTAAACACATATCGACGGTCGCCCACAGAGGAGAATAAAATTGCTTTCAAAAGAGCGCGCGCGAAAGCAAAACGCTCCATTAGAGAGAGCAAGAGAATATCGTGGGAAACTTATGCATCGACAATAACAGCAGACACTCCAGTGTCAGAAATATTGGGTAAAATTCGCTCGATTCTAGGGAAGTAATTCACAGAACTATCTCCAATAATTGAAGTGAATGGTACACTAATCACAAACAAAAATGAAATTGCTGAGATACTCGCCCAACAATTTGAATCAATCAGTAGCTCTCAACAATATGACGAAGATCTCATCACTTGGAGACAAGAAGAAGAACGATACCTTGATTTCAACGAAGAAATAACCTCTGAATATAACGTGGCATTCACTACCAGCGAACTGGATGATGCTCTCTCTATGTTAGGAAACTCAGCACCAGGAGAGGACAATCTGATGTATGAGTTCATGAAACAACTTCCTGACACAGGCAAAGAAGTTTTACTGAACTTATTCAATAAAATATGGATCAGTGGTAAGTACCCAGATACATGGCGCAAGGCCGTTATAATTCCTATACCAAAACCAGGAAAAGATCCGAAACTACCCAACAGCTATCGCCCAATATCACTAACCAGTAACCTCAGTAAAACTATGGAAAAAATGATTAGCCTTCGTCTCATATGGTATCTAGAGAGCAATAATTTACTAACATCAGCACAAGCCGGATTTAGATCAAATAGATCCACAATCGACCAACTCTTCCTCCTAGAAAAAGAAATTCAGAATAGTTTCGCACGAAGAAGTCATTTAGTTGCCGTATTCTTCGATCTAGAGAAGGCATTTGACACCACATGGCACCTCTCCATACTCAAACAGCTTCACAGCTGGAACATAAGAGGTAATCTGCCCCTATTCATCAGAAGTTTTCTTCAAAATAGGCTGTTTAAAGTAAGATACAATACGGAATAATCGAACATACACATACACATTAGATAACGGAGTTCCCCAAGGATCTACTCTGAGTGTAATCCTATTCGCAATAGCTGTCAACGGATTGCTCAGTGATCTGGACCCAGCTATAGGTAGAAGTATGTATGTTGACGATCTTGCTATATTCTATTCCGCTACCGACATGGACACTATAGAGAGAACTCTTCAAGAAGCCATCAATAATCTCTCCGACCGAGCGACACAATTAGGATTCGAATTTTCCACTACAAAAACCCACTGTGTACATTTTTGTCGCCTAAGAACTGCGCACCCTGAACCAAATCTCACTCTTTATGATGACCATGTGGTTTGCAAAGAACATTCCCAATTTCTGGGTTTGATCTTCGATAAAAAATTAACGTGGAACAAACACATTGAGGAGCTATCAAATAGATGTAAACGTGCTCTGAACCCACTCAGAGCGCTCGCTAGTATCAACTGGGGATCTGGTACTGAGATATTACTTAATCTATACAGAGCGCATGTACTGTCAAAAATTGATTATGGATGTTTCATATAAGAATCAGCCCGCCAATCACGGCTGAAAAAACTGGACAACATTCAATGTCTTGCGCTGAGAACAGCACTAGGAGCCTTCAGAACCAGCCCATATACAACGCTCTGTTGTGAATCTGGATTTCCTCCCCTAAAATATAGAAGACAACGGCTACTTGCAAACTACTGCAAAAAATTATGGGCAATGCCGAATCACCCTGACTATCCACCTACACCAGAAAGAGATATCAATGAAATTTATCAAAGGCGCACAACAATCACACGCCCAGCAGGAGTGAGATTGGAAGAATTCATCGTACGATGCGAATATGAGGCAAGGTCAGTTTGTGTACTGGGTCCATGCGAAGTCCCTCCATGGACACTGGCCCCCATTGACATTATTTGGACATTGAGAAAATATAAAAAATCAGAGATGAATCAACACGTCATAATGGCTGAATTTTACAACATCATGGACGGCTACCCTGGATACCATAAAATATTCACAGATGGTTCAAAAACAGAAAATGGTGTCGGAAGCGCTTTCTTCAGCTCAGGCGAAAATTACTCATGGACACTTCCCCCTGAAGCTACCATATACACTGCAGAATTATTTGCTATACTACAGGCAATAGGTTACATGGAATTTTCTGAAGACCGTCAGTTTATAAGATGCATAGACTCTATGAGCTCAGTACAAGCATTACAATGGCTATATAGTAAAGATCCATTAGTCCAAAGCATAATTGTACGAATCGACATGTTAAGAAGACAAGGCAAACATACGAAAATTCTGTGGATTCCAGGTCATTGCGGAATTGTAGGTAATGATGCTGCAGATAAAGCTGCGAGGGATGCTTCTGAACGCGTAGTT